TTATTTCGGTATCATCTATTCCGTTTCGCCACCACATAATTCGGTACTACACTTCCATGTAACCCGCCATCAATCTCAGTTCTCAAGAAATCAAGTCAATTAAATAAATTGGTATTAATATTCGAATTCAAAAATAAAATATAAAAAACACTACAAATGTACATTAGGAAAAAGTAAGTCAAAATGGAAAAAATCATGCAAAATAAAACATTACCATTGTACATTTCAAAAGTCAAAATGTAAATGTTAACATATCACATTTTTACGCGATTTTTTGGATATTATCCTTTTCGGATAAGAGACAATTCCGAATTTGTATGAATCATTAAAATCAGTTCAGCGGTTCTTAAGTTATAAGCGTAGTAACTAACACAACTTTCATATATATATATAGATAGATTATTTTATTTTTTATTATCTTTAATTATTTATTTCGTCACAGAAAAATTAAGTTTTGTGCATATCCTACATTTACATTTGTAATAATAGTACGTTTGCAGTTTAGAGGACTTGATAGACCAAGTAGATTTAAATTGCCAATTCCTGTGCGTATACGTCACAAAGGATATTTATTTGCGCATCTCTCTACATTCCTCCAATTGTGAGTCGTCTAATGAACATGTTTCGGCATCTAATGTTTGTGTTAAATATTGATTCTCAAAGGACGGACTATCTTTATTATGCCTTTTACTACCAATAATGTAAAAAAGGTTGTCTTTGGAATTCACAATTTTCTGATCTCTATCCTTTTGATAGGCCTCAAGGCTAACCACTTTATTTCGTGCTGTGTCTATTATATTCAAAACTGGCGTTGCTTGTTCTGGTCTGATGTGAATTTCACGCCCTTCTTCAGGATTCGAAGACACCCATTCACAGACTGAACAGAACCCAAAAAAGGAATCCTCCTCCGAGAGATCACTATTAATTTTCGAATACAGACTGACGAAATCATTTTCCTTAGGATAATGTTTGCATAAACTCATCAAGTATGGAGAACCATGGTCGGGACATCTTAGGCTTTCAAACCCATTGGGAGTGCTATACAATATTGCTATATTTTTCGGTAAGTCGCTGGCATTGGTGGGTTGAATGGCTTCAATATCGTCTGGTGCAGCAAATTCAGGATCAATATTGCCGCGACAAGCATTAACAAATAACAGAGATTGGACCTTTGCCAGGGACGGATTTGACCGAATATGGTCGATAATATCGTTTCTTATATTGATCGTACCATCACTGGTATGTAAAATATCACCATCGCCGCCATGTGTCATAATGAAGAGCATAAATCGTTTAAGAGAACTTAAATCTAAAGTCCTTAAAAATTTCATTAATTCCAGCAATTCTGGGCGGCTACAATCCTGAAATATCATAAATGGAATTCCATCTTTTTTTAATTCTCTAATTATATGCTTCACATCGTGTTCACTTCCTTCGCGGACACTCAAACTTGTAAAATAATAGTTGTTAATAATAATTGCCAGAGATGGATTTATACCATAAAAGTAAGATTCGGCTGAAGTAGAAGTCTGTATGATCCGAAAATAACCTAAAATGCGGCCATTTTTCAATAAGGTAGATTGCACTGCATTCATGGGCTTCCTATAGCTTTGAAACAATAGTGTGCTCACTTCCTTTTCTCTGTCCGCGTCCCCTTCAATGAAACACTGCATAAACACAATATTATCCACATTAAAGGATGTGAAACAGATATGATCCTTTAATGGATTCATATCGTTTTTAGTTATGTTTTTAATGGCTGCCTCGTTGACGTCATCCAAAGAAGCTGTGGGAAATTTTTTTTCTATTACAAATTTTTGTAGTTTGTAGAAGGGATTATTTTTGACATCAGCGTTGCCTATCTTGTTTAATTTGGGATGTAACACACTGCCGCTAGAAAACCCAATCGAACGCTTTTTTGCCAGAGCAAAGTATTTCTGGAAAAATACCTCTGACATATCTTTGGTCCATATACGTCTGTATTTTAACTTTTTTGTGTATGTTGCCATTATTAGTTTGGATTTGCGATGAAGATTTTGGTTTGATTTCACAGCTCGCAAAACTTTACGCAGCATTTTGTTCCGGCAATCGCAATCGGTGTTGAGTACAATAACAAAACATGAGTAACCAATGCCCTTTGTGTTTGATAAAACTCTTACTACATCATCAATGTCACCTTGATAGCAACTGTACGCCATATATGTACTTCTGCAGGAATCTTGTTGGATCTGAACTTCTTCACTATATTCTGGGTTATTATTGAAGGGATCCTCGTCTGGGTATAGAGGATGCCTCTTGCAGTTCCCAATGTATAACTTTAAACGCAAACCAAATTGTTGTTCCATGATGACTCATGAATCTTTTGTGTGCAGAAATTCAAAAGTCCTGACAGCTACTGTGAATAAACACTGGTTGCACACGTTCCAAACCAAATTATTCGATCATAACTTATGAATCTATTGTATGCAGAAAGTCAAAAGTACTGACAGATACTGTGAATAAACACCCTGATCGCACAAGGTACAACAATACGGGAAGAGAGAGCTTTTACAGCGTTACCTAAAATTCGAGGTACACAGTCGACGTTTTTCACCACTCAAGCAAAGCCCATGTATTTATATGAGAGTTCCCCAATACGTCGGGCCATGGTAGAAGAATATAGGTAGACGTATCGACGCAGCTGCTGAGACAATGAAATGTCAAACCAATTTTGGAATTGAAAATGTTGAATGAAAATTTTTTTAAATTTGTAAAAATTGTTGAGAAAGGCATTTTATAATAACCTCCGAATGACGTCGTATAAGAAAACATATAAAAAACTACTTATATTTGAAAATAAATTAAAAAAATTTTGACATATCAATGCTCCCAAGCGTTGATGCATCTACCTGTATTTTTCTACCATGCGTCGGGCGTACAAATTTTCAAAGTTAAAGCCATGGTAGAAGAGTACAGCATCAACGCTTGGGAACATTGTTATATCAAAGTATTTCAAATGTTTTGTCAAATATAAGTAGATTTTTATATGTTTTTTTATATTGAGTACATTGAGTAAAAAAGCTGTAAGTTCGGCCGGGCCGATCTTTCAATAAGCTCCACCATTTGGAACAAATTTGGCAATTTTCAAAAAATAAAATCCGTTAAAATCTTAAAAATACCGAATGTAGCCGATATATTAATTATATACGACGACGTGGACATGCATAAGCAACTTTTGTCATAAGCCATTAGAACATTTAAATGCAAAACTTGAAAAAAAAAATCGGTGAATAATGTAGCTAAAATTATCAAAATACCGAATTTAGGGAGGTATCGTTATTCTGGGGCTAAAATCTTCAAACTACCGAATTTAGGGAGGTACAGTTATTTTGGGGCTATACGAAGATGTGGACCTGCACAGACAATTTTCTTTCTTAGGCTGCACTATCCATTACGATCTTCAAATACCAAATTTGAAACAATTCCGGTAAATATTGTCGCTAAAATCATCAAAATACCGAATATAGGGAGGTATCAACCTTCTTCGTTTCGTTCGGAAGCCAGAGTGAGAGGGGTCTAAAATGTATATTTTGAGGTGTTACAAACGGAATGACAAACTTAATATACCCTCCATACTATGGTGGAGGGTATAAAAAAATACCAATTTTTACAACGTTTTCTTTTCGTAGTTTATGAGATATGGACCTGGTGTATTTGGGTAATACGGACGTACAAAGTATTTTACAATAGTGGGGACATGGTAGAAGCTGCTGCATCGACACAGCTGCTGGGACAATGAACTGTCAAGCCGATTTTGGAATTGAAAATGATGAATGAAAAAGAATTGGAATTTGTAAAAATTGTTGAAAATACATATCAGAACAACCTTTGATTTGCGTCGTATGAGAAAACATAAAAAATCTACTTATTTTTGAAAAGCATTTTAAAAATTCTGTCATATCAATGTTTCAAAGTGTTGATGCATCTACCTATATTCTTCTACCATGAGTGCGGACGTTGAATATTGGAATACGCTACATTGAATTTAAGGTAACGATGTTATCCATGGTATAATTGTTACAGGTAACAGCAAGTCCCAGCTGATTTGATTATATAGTAATACTAGTGTAATGCTCGATATGACGCATGGCAAAAGAAAACAGGTAGATGCATCAAAGCTTGGGAGCATTGATATGTCAAAAAAATGTAAATGTTTTTTCAAATACAATTCGATTTTTATATGTTTTCTTATACGACACCATTCGGAGGTTATTATAATTCACGTTTTTTTTTGACAATTTTTACAAATTTAAATAATTTTTCATTCAACATTTTCAATCCCAAAATTGGATTGGCAGTTCGTTGTCCCAGCAGCTGTGTCGATGCGTCTACCTATATTCTTCTACCATGGTATGACGTTTTGTGATTGAATTCAATTTCTTGATATGCTATAGGTATTCCCCTTTTTTTGATAAAATTTTCACTGTAGGGCAATTCGAGCATATTTTTTACCTGATAATAGAAAAACAGCGATGGTGCGAAAACTTTAAAAAGCCCCGACACAACATTAGGTAACATAGTCGTATATTTCATGTTTCCTAAAATTGCAAAATGTAGAATACTTTATGTAGGTATGCAGTTTGGTTTCAATTTGAAAGGAATGCTGCCTTTTCCACAGCGATTCTAGCGATTACATGTAGTGTTGAATAATTGGGATCTACAGCTAACAAATATACATTAAGGGGAATGATATGAAAGCATTCAAATTCAAGAATTGAGGAACTATGCTTCTGCATTTTAAATGTAATAATCCACATTCCAAAAACGTATATTTTTGAAATTAAAATAATTTATAGAAAATTAATAATTTTGTTTACACTTTTGGACATATAACTCTGACAGTTGTATTACGTACAAAAACAAATTTGTATGTGGTTGTTGTTACGATTGTTGTACAACAACATGTGCTGTTATCTGTATTATTCTACCATGGCTGTTATCGATAAAATAAATTATGACACTTGCAAAACAGAAAAATTTATTGAAGGTTTTGAAATATTTCAGGTCAAAATTAAAATTATGAATAAAAAGTATAAGGTTGAACGGAGTATGTACATTCAAACGAATTTACATGTTGTCGTCTCTATCTTCTCAGGTACGCTTCTTATTAACGAGTTGGAATTTCAGCAAATACTGTAAAAATATGCATACATTTGTCAATTTATGTATCGACTAAAATAATTTTGACAAATGTCTCACCGGTTGAATTTGAAAAAGCAACAAGTAAAAAAAGCTGATCAGTTCGTCCGTACCGAATGAACCATTTGGAAGCAACTTGAAAAGTGTGAAAAAATCCGTAAATAAGGCCCTGCATTTATCAAAATACCGAATATCGGGTGTCGGGTCTGTTCCAAAACTGCTAGAATGTAATTTTTTACTACCATAACAGATTATCCCTTTATGAAAACTAGTACACTCTTGCAGGTACTGGAATAGACCAATAGTGGTATGGGGGCTAAACGAAGCGTGATACTGTATTGCCAACACCAATTTTCGGATAACTTGGTTGAAAAATGTGGCGAAAATCGGAAAAATACCGAACATTGGAAGTTTCAATTTTTGATCTATTGCAGAACTGCAAGAATGTAAAAGGTTTTAATTATGATAAACGATTTTTCCTTTGCAAAACTGGAAAATTCTTGCAGGTACTGGAACAGAGGATATATATATGTAAAGATTCATAGGTAATTTGATGTCATACGAACTTCAAACGCCAAATTTGAAACAATTGCGTCGAAAATGTCACATAAATTCTCACAATACCAGAGAAGATTGTATCTACTTCTGACACCAAATACTATATTTAAAATAATTCCGTTGAACCATGTCGCTTAAATCATCAAAATATCGAATATAGGGATGAACTTTTATATGGGGGCTATACTAAACCGTAGACCTGTATAGGCAAATTTCTGTCAGTAGTATCCATTGCGAACTCCATATTCAAAACGAACGAAAGGCTAGATCGACAGAATTTTATCCTGATCAAGAATGTATAAACTTGTAGGTTCTAAAATATAAATTTCAAGGTGTTACAAATGGAACGACAAAATTATTATACCCTCCATACAAAAATATATTTAAAAAAAGCCAGTAAGGAAGAGTCAAAAGTCGGGCGTGGCCGACTATATGATACTCAATATTACTATGCACAGTTATTTGAGGTAGATCATACCACCTATCAACATTTGGCTTTAGAGCAGTTATAGTTTGGTTTCAGAGGGAGCTAATATATGGGATATATTGTATCGATTTTCACTAAATTTTACAGAGACATTTTAATCTTTTATACCAAATAACATTGCTATTGGGTACATGATATCACTTCGAGAAGGATTATATTAAAACATATATATCAGCAGTCATGTATAGAAGTTTTTGGATCCGACCATGGCCGTATGGGCTGTGTTAATTGAATATAAATAAAAAATAAAATAAATAAATCAGTTTATATCAGTGCGACTTTTGTGTACTCTGCATAAATTCCCATCGTGCCGTATGAACGGGTTAATTCGGGTATTTGATTTTGAAAACGAACAACATACCGTTATATGACGGCTATACCAAAAAATGGACCGATATATCATTTTTAATACCAACCATCCTAGACACAAATTGTTGTGGGCTGTATAGTGATTTCAACAGACAGGCAGACAGACATCGTAAAATTGACTTAGAATTTTATACTGATTATGAATATATATACTTTATGGGGTCTGCTATGAATATTTAGAGTTGTTACAAACGGAATGACAAAGTTAATATACCCTTCCTTCCAAGGTGGAGGGTATAGCAAATAAAAAAATAAATAAAAATAATTCGAATTACAAATTGGAATCCAAAACAAAATGTCGCTACTTATATCTGAAATGATTTGTATTAAATGTGAATACTGTGGATTTCAGTGAGCACATTCTGCCCTAACTTGCAGACATTTATATATTTGGTTGCCTCATCAAATCCACCCATCCATATTGCGATGTCTTTTCTTACAAAAGTTTCGTTAACGGGACGGGAAAAATAATAATAAATTTATAAAGAGCAGGTACATGGCCCATGGGATGGTCTATATAAGGTGGACCAGTAAGCCCATCTGACAACTAAGTTTGCTGTCAACTGTGACTTGAAATTCAAATAACAGAGAGTAAAATCACAATTGTGAAAAAGCACTAAGTTTGTTGTCAAACCAATGTCAAAAGTTATCTTCTTGGCTGACCTTTTCTAGGCCTTGAGCAGGCATACACAAATGTCATAAAGACTAAGAAGCGTGTAATACAATATCAGTGCAATAAATTGGAGTAAGGCAAAACTGTTATATTTATGTTTTTTTTTTTTTTAATAAATCAATTTATATTACTCGTTTCAGGATTTAAAATTAAAATACACTATTTTTCGAACATACAACTCATACAGAATGTTTGGTATTGAAAAAGTTCCTTGTCGACATGGTGATAATGTTTGCCACTCGCTTAAGGCTCCCATTGGATATGTGGGAAAAACGTCTTATAAGATAAAATCAAATTAGAATTTAATGTCATTTGACGACTTACAAACAAGTACACATAGAATACAAATAAAATAAAAAAATATAAAAAACAAGCACGAAAACAAAATTGACGAGCAAAAAACGAGTTAAGTTTATACACATAAAATGAACGAAGTGAAGTAAAACGAAAGAAAACAACAAATTATAATAGAATGTAAAACGCACGCTGAAATCCAAAGAAGGATTGAATGTACACGGCCCCACTTGATGACGATGATAAATGTGTTCATCACACGGAGTATTCTTCATTGTTGCTTAGGGAGCAGCACAACATGCTACTGACTGTGCGCCCAGAGAGATGCGTATTTAAAAATCACTTAGAATATATCAATTCCCAATTTATACAATATTGTATCGAAGGCATACACCGACGAAATGAAGGTATATGGCTTATTGCGTATAACACCATAATCTGGCTCTAAACTTGGTAAGGCACGACTCGAAAAGTTTTGTTGCTGTGATCCAACACCGCGGTGCGTTATTGCTGCCACCGGTTTACGTACATTCTGTTTCATTTTCTCTTTCCGTGCTACCAGCTTTTTTGTTTCCCGCACCATGTAAATGGCATCAGTGGTGGTCATGAAATCACGTATAATCTAAAAAAAAAATGAACCAATGTTAAAAGAATTATTGCATATAGAGCGGTAGCAAGGCTGAGACAATTTGTTAGTTGATAAAAAGGGCAACTTTGAACAACAATCTACCACAATAGCATAGGAATGTCTAGTGGAGTGTAGCCTACCAAAATTCACCCCAACGATTACTTACCCTACGCTTGACCGGGCAATGGGCAAATATCCATATAAGCGTACACAGAGTATTGAAAATTTCACAATCTTTATCGCACCAACGCAGCAACATTTGTGCAATGGTAACCAGGCCACCTTCTTGGAATGTGTTCGCGGTCGTACTATTATAACGAGCCAAATTCAAAATGATGCGACTGCAATACATTATCAGTTGCTTATCGACTTCCGACCGTATGGCCTGTGCCATAATGCCATAGCAGAATGTGGAAATAAAATCCGAACGGCACATTAAAAGATGTGGAACTGTGCGAGAAATACGATCTGTAACAAAAGTAAAGTTTATTTTCATTAAAGGTGCAATGTAAAGAACAGGTGGTAGTTAAACATGTAGGAGGTGAACACGAAGACAGGAATAAAAAAACTGTACACAAAGTGAGTAAATAAGGAGGGATACTTAAAAGTTAATTATACCCTACAACACTATGTGTTGGGGGTATTATAAGTTTGATTGGGCCAGAATTTATGTAACACCTCGAAATATTGGTTTCCCATATAGGAAAGTATATATGGATCTTCCTAGCTCGCCGAGCTGAGTCGATCTAGCTATGTATGTCCGTCCGTCCGTCTGTCCGTCTGTCCATGTTAATTTGTAATCACTCTACAGGTCGCAATTATGGCCCGATCTTCACGAAATTTAGAATGTAGGTGGGGTTAAGGTCAGAATAGAACCCTATTTCTTTTGGAGATGATCGCATAATATTTAGGGGTTGAAATGGACCAAAAACTGAAAAAATTCCTGAATTTGCAGTTGCTCTACAGGTCGCAATTATAGACCAATCGACGCGGAATTGCGCATGTAGCTAGAGTTTAGGGCGGGGAAGAAGCCTACCAATTTGGGTGGTCATCCGATAATATTTAGCGGGTAAAATAGACCATATCTTTTGTGTTGAAAAAAAATCAAAATTTTTCATTAAACCGCGAATATTTTAAATCCCGGCGAAATCAAAAGCCATGACAAGGTCGCTTCTGATCTTTACATTGATGTTAACATCCAACAAATCGGATATATAGCAAAATATGTGCGATATATATGTCTATCAAAGAGGATATGCTTGAAAGATCTCTTATATGTCGAGAACGGCTGAACTGATTTCGACAGTTCTCATTAATTCAGATTGGCTTCTTGGCAGGAAAGAAAAAACGTCTAAAAAAATCGCATAAAAATATCTCTCTAAAGATGAAAATATTGATTTTCTAACATTTTCTCATATTTTTTCAATTTTGTCATATTTTTGGCATATTTCCATTTTGAATTAAACATTTGGTAATATTTCTACAGCTAACAAAACTAAGTAGTTAGGATATCAGGATATCATACAGAGATTGCATTTATGGCCCGATCCTTACGAAATTTTGCATGGGTATAACATAAGGGTCAGAATAGAAGCCTACTCTTTTTGGATATGATCGCCATATATTTAGGGGTTGAAATGGACCAAAAAACTGCAAATTTGTCAGCAGGTTGTAATTATCGCCCGATCCTCAGGCACATTTGAATGTGGGTTACCGGACATTGCAAAAGCCAAGCAGTTTTGGATGGCCATCCAAAAATATTCAATGTGTGAAATAGTTTCCCAACTTTTGTAGACAAGATATGAAAATGTCCATTACAGTGACTTCTTGGAGAATTCCTAAATACAGGAAAGACGCACTTCTGACTATTTCGTTAACGCTGATTTAATTGAAGAATATAGTCAAATGTCTGTATCTCATATAGATGCGTTTAAGTCAAAAACCAATAATAAATGTTAATCTTTTGCCATTTCTGAGAGATTATAGGTCTTTGGGAAATATTGGTTTCAGATCTAGGAAGACCATTTACGTGCAACATCTACCAATAATTAGATTAATTAGAGAACGAAACCTGATGGTTTTCTTTTATTATTTGTCACAATATCTTGTGGAATTCTTTCGAGTATATGGCCTATATAAACTGTATAATTTATTATAGTGTTGTAGGGTATTCAACGGTCGGCGCCGCTCGACTGTAGCCTTTGCTTACTTGTTTTTATTATACCCTCAGCCATTTGGCTAGAGAGGATAGGTCAAAAAGGCCAAAACGTGCCTCATCGAAATAACGGTTTTAGAACCTAGGTCTCATTGAACGGAATCCGTTTCAGGATTTTTGGAGTCGATCTAGTGATGTACGTCCGCCTTGCTGGTTGGTTGGTGCGCACGATAATTGTCGAAGGGAGTATCCGAATTGGCCCAAACATGGTACATCGAAATATTATTACCAAACTTAGATCGAGTTCGGAGATGGGCAATATCGGTCGGTACCTCCGCCACAAAATGTCAACATGTCAAAACAATATTTTACGGCACACAAAGAGAAAGGATTACCTGATTTTGCACCAACTTAACAATTCCTAATATTTACATCCGATTGTCTTCAAATTACACACATCACAATAGTTTTACTAATCCAAGGTCTGATGCGAAAATAGAATATATCGGTCCACTCCTTCTGATACCTCCCCCACAAAGGGTAAACATTTTGAATATCCATGAAGCTCATATAACACAAGATCTGTTATAATGATGGTAGAGATTAGACCATTTCTTCTGGTAACTCCCCCACATCAAAAGGGAAATAAGCATCAACTCTCTTCAAATTTTATGCATACAAACATTTTTGCTAACACAAGATCTGTTGTAAAGATGATATGTATCTAAGAACCCCTTCTGGTACATCAACCGCAAAGGGGTCAATATTTTCGATACTTTCATCTGTCATAACTTGCGAAACAAGTCAGTGATTCTTTACAACTTGCTAATCTAAATATTTCTCTGAACCAGAACCCTAAGATGAATATGGAATTTGTGATTTCGCATAAAATCGGATATAAATGTTCGATTTTCTTGTAATTTTGCCCATACCAATACTTTTATCTGTATTAGATGAAGTATTAATATTAAAATGGAATACTTCGGTCGACTATATCTATATAATATACAAGTGGTTATCGTTAGGGCACTTCAGCATTTAAATGTAAATAAATCGTTTGTGTCTCGCACCATCGCGCGTTACCGTGGTACTGGTAGCGTAACCCGACGGCAAGGAAGAGGACGGATAAAAACAGCGAAATAAGCAGAAATGGTTCGAAAAGTAAAGAAGCGACTTGATCGAAACCCGCGTCGTAGTGGCTGAAAAAAAGCTCGTGAGATGAACATATCGCAATATTCCATTCGGCAAATATTGAAAATGAGCTCAGGGTAAAGCCATTGAAATTCCAAAAAGTGCAAGAACTTACACCGCAACAGAAAGAAAATAGACTCTGAATAGCTAAAGAGTAGCTTCGCTTGGCCGAAAGTGGTGAACTGCCGAATTTGGTTTTCTCCGATGAGAAAACATTCGTTGTCCAGCAGTTTGTAACCAAACAAAATGATCGTGTTTACTTGCCAAAGCTGAAAATGTGCACCTTCGGTTGGCCACCAGAACTCAAGCACCGGCCATGGTGATGGTGTGGGCCGCCATAACAGCCAATGGTCGCTATCCGCTCGTATTAATCGACCGTGGCATCAGAAGCCAAAATATTAAGAGGATGAAGTGGACCAAAAACTGATTTTATTGCTGATTTTGAAGTCGATCTAGACGTCACTATTATAGACCAAGCGACATGAATTTGTGTATGCGGTGAGACTTTGCGGCAGATGTCTACTATATTAGATGGTCATGGGATAATACTTAGCGGCTGAAATGGATCACAAGTTTTGTGTGAAAAATACAATTTCTATTCAACCACGAATATTTTTAATACTGAAAGTCACTTTCTTTGATGAAATCACTAGTACACAAAAAATGGCACATCTGACCTTTACATTGATGCTGATTTCGTATGCGTAAATAGTCAGATATCGGAGATATTGCAAAAACTATACAGAAATCTAAACTTTTAAATATAATTCCTAATCGCCATTAGAACGACAAAATTAAGATTTCGCGCTCCGTGGTTGAAAACATCTGACCTTTAAATTTATATCCCTAACGAACCTTGATATTCGGAATGATATGGTTTAAAATCTACGGAAGCGTTACCGCACATTATAGTGTTATAGGATACTGCATCGTTGGCCCCGCCTAATTGCAGTCTTTTCTTACTTATTGATATTACATTACACGACACGTATCTATATATCGATAATCAAGGGGATATTTTAGCTCTAGAATCGTGAACTATAACTATAAACCAGTGCTGACTGCTCATATAAGTATTTTCTTACAATTGACCCTAGAGCTTGATTCGTTTTACTTCTCGACTGATCGTATGATATTTGTATAAAGCACTACGAGAAAAAAATTCAAATTTCGTTCGTGAGTCCCACCCTTTGAGAAACCACTATCAGCTAATGTCAAAATATCAGCGTAAAAAAAAATTCTCTACTGATATAAAAGAGTAAAAAAACAGTAAGTTCGGCCGGGCAGAACTTTGAATACCCAAATTCCGTGAATAATATCTACATTAGCATCATCAAAATACCGAATATAGGGAGGTGCCATTATATGGGGGCTATACCAAAATGTGGACCTGCACCAACAATTTTCTGTCATAGGCTGTAGTATCCATTACGAACTTCAAATACCAAATTTGAAACATTTCCGGTGAATAATGTCGCTAAAATCAACAAAATACCGAATAACGGGAGGTGCCGTCATACGGGGGCTATACGAAGACGTGGACCTGCACAGACAATTTTCTTTCTTAGGCTGTAGCATCCATTTCGAACTTCAAATATCAAATTTGAAACAATTCCGGTGAATAATTTCGCTAAAATCATCAAAATACCGAATAGCGGGAGGTACCGTTGTATGGGGGCTATACGACGACGTGGACCTGTACAGACAATTTGCTATAATTTTAAACATTTCCGGTGAATAATGTCGCTTTAATCACCAAAATACCGAAAATAGGGAAATACCATTATATGGGGGCTATACCAAAACGTGGACCTACATGGCCCATTTTCAATAGCAAAAGTCCTGCAGACATAATATACTTCTGAGTAAGATTGGATCAACTTACTTCACTAGAGTTATATCCACAGAAGGACGGACATCGTTAAATCGACATAGAATTTTATGCTGATCAAGAACATACAAAAATGTATATTTCGAGGCGTTACAAACGGAATGACAAACTGAATATACCCTCCATACTATGGTGGAGGGTATAAAAATATCATTGCTAGTTCTTAAGTAAAACTTACCCAATCGAACTAAGACATTCAAAGCTTCCGAAGCACTAAAACGACCTCTTAGTATACGTACAGCATCCTGTACCTTAAAACGAATGGTATTGACAGTGTTGGTCGATTCCTTAAGCGCAGCAATATTGTTTCGTATGGCCTTGATGCGAGCATTGTGATAACGTTTCCGAATACGATAACCACGCCAGAAACGTTGGATAATCTTTGCAGCTTTCTTTTGACGCAACAACTCTTTCATGTCCGGGGTCATGAGAGCTTGGAATCGTCGACGAGCCAGAAAACCACGAGCATGGGCCTGAAAATCAACAATATTGTTTTTGAGCTGCAGAAAATGCTCGCGCTGTTCACGCATTAACAAACGACCCCGATATTTCTGTTGCAGATGTATGGTCGTTTTCCGTAACAGTAGAAAATCATAACGCACCCGAAGCATTTCACGATTGGCCCTAAATTTGCGTTGTATACAAATGATAAGAGAACGTATTAGCTGATACTGCGAGCGAATTTGTAGCATTTCGCGATGAGCTCTAAATCGCCGTTGTACGACAATGGCGGCTTGACGTTGTCGCTGGTACTCCGCTTGGACGTTACGCATTTGTAAAGTAGCTCTAACCAATCTTTGTAAAAATATTACTTTTTGCACTGTTTGAAGAAATTTCGTTCGATGTTCACGTGCCAGTCTGGTGGCTCTCCATTTTCTCTGTATGGTAAGACTTGACGTGCGAAGGCGCTTGTAACTATTCTGTTTATTCCTCATCTCCAAAATTGATCTATACCAAGATTGTATTTTTATGGCTGCCAAACGTTGGGCTCTATAGGCATTCTGATATTGTTTCGTTAGTAAATGTGAGCGAAAATAGGTTTGTATACAAATTACTTGAGAGCGAACATAAGTGAAATGCTTCATTTCGATTTCCATTTGTTTTTTCGCTCGAAAACGTCTTTGAACTTGTATAATAAGGGACCTATGATATAGGTACTGCTGGCGGATTTGACGAGCAAGGAGAGTGGCTTTGACACGTAATTGTATGCTAACAATTAGGGAACGTTGACGCAAATATTCCCTACGTTGAGCACGCATAGCTAATGTGGCCCGATATCTTCGTTGTATGCAAACAACAGCCCGTTTTAACTGTTGATAAGCGCCCTGTTGCACTTTCATAACGCGATGCGTGCGATAAGCACGTTGTATGCTTACTGCCGCTTGTCGGAATCTTAAATATGCCTGGCGTTCTTCCCTCATTTGCAGATAATTCCTGAAATGTTCCTGTATACACAGGACTGCTGCTCGAGTCCCTTGATATTTTGCCCTTTGATAACGCATCTTCTTATAAGCATGAAATCGGCTTTGTATAATTTTTATGGCAATCATTTTGTCTCTATATTCACGATATGCCCTGCGCATAAGAAGTTTGGCACGAAATCTTCTTTGAATATTTATAATGCAAGTCCGCAAATGTAAATAGTTTTCTCGTTCGATGCGCATTGCTTTTGTAGCTCGAAATTTTTGTTGAATTACCGTAGCATAGTATTGCATTGCAATAAAATGGATGCGAACGTTACGACTAAGCAGAGTGGCTCGCCATTTCCTTTGAATAATAATAATTTTTTGCCGAATATTCAAATATTGTTGGCGTTGTTGACGCATTAGGACAGTGGCCCGATAACAGCGTTGTACACGTATGGCATTTGTCCTCAACTGTTTGTAGTAATCTCTTTGCTGTTTCATTTCTCTATTGGCACGGAATTTTCTTTGTATAAAAACTGTAGATTTTCTCAATTGTTCGTATTCTGAACGCTGTTGATTCATAAGATAGCGGCTTCGATACATCTTTTGGATAAGTACAACTGCTGACAAAGTTCGTGAATAGCTTTGGCGCGCAACATAGCCTCGCCATAGGGCTTGTATACGACAGGCCGCTGCTTTTCTTTCTTGATGATATTTACATTTTTCTAATATTGCTTGCTCTCTTAAAGCACTAGCTTCCTTCTTCAAACGCCAACGACGTTGGATGCATATTGCACTTTTACGCAACTTTTGGTACTGATCACGTTCCATTTTGCCCTGCAGTGTGGCTCTATACCAATTTTGTATAATAACTATACATTTGAGAGTCATAAGGAATCGTCTGCGCATTAAATGAGAACGGTAATTTTTTTGTAATACCACCGCTGCAGCTGTGCGCTCCTGCCTATAGGCTTCGACCTTTCTGCGGGTTATCAAACCACGATAGAACTTTTGTATAGTGGTAGCTGCCGCTTCTCTTCGCAATTCTTCCTTGCGACGCATACGTCGTGCAATGACCACTTTTAACCAGGAATTACGCCACCATTGTTGAATAACTTTAGCAGCAGCATGAAACTTTGGCGATCGGAATTTATAAATAATTTGCCAGAGCAAAGATAAAGTCTTCTCCCTATGGCCATCAACAATATCGTTGGCACTTATTTCACCCTTTAGGTGGAAGTCCGCTTCACTTAAGGCCTTCAAACCCAAATTGACATTAAATATTCTCTGTAGACGGGATATGGCCGGTACTCTCAACTGTTTTGTTAGATCGTCCCGCAACAATATAATTTCCATTACTCTCGTCAAGCGTATGCCATCACGTAAATCTACGGCCAAATTATTGAAAGCATAGTCGAATTCGTCCAAATAATTTTGCTTGTGTGTTAGCACGTAGCCCAACCGTTTCAAATCTCGTGTTATATCACCCACATTGGCTAAAAGTTCACATGAGAAACGCAACAAGATTTCCCGGGTTTCTTTGTGCGGTGATTTCTTAATGAAAAGGCATGGATTGTGGGTTATAATGCGCTTTTCTTTGGCCTTGTCCAAAAATAGCATCAGGAAAAAGAACTTCTGTAGTGTGAATTTCTTAATGTGTTCGGCGTATTCTTCAGAAAGAGTATAGGCTTTTGAGTATTTTTGTTCTAAGAATTTGTCGCGGAAAAATCTGAAATTAAAAAGAAGAGTAAATTGTGTTCAATTTTTTAAGCAAATATTTATTTATGACTAATAACTTTTTCACCCTTTTTTGTTGATTCGTTTGAGATCAAATGTGGACGCTGGATTAGTTTTAGATTACTATAAGTCTATCTCGTTTTCGTCTGCACGTTACAAACAAATGAAGAAAGACATGAGCGATATACAGGGTGAGATAAAAATACTGCAACCAACGTCAGACTGCTGTCTTTTCAAAGCCACTCGTCCGACAGCTGTTAAAATTATTCCATTATTTCAGAAAAAAGTTATTCGTGATGGAATTCAAACGTGATAGAGTGATTTGTTTATATATGGCTGGAAAACCACAAGTGACTATCGTTAAAGCACTCCAGCATTTAAATGTGACTAAATCTTTTGTGTATTGTACCATCGCTCTTTACGAAGTCGTAGCCCCGGAAGAAAACAGAAACATCAGCAGAAATGGTTCGAAAAGTGAAGAAGCGACTTGATCGAAATCCGCGTCGCAGTGGCCGAAAATTGGCTCGTAAGCTGAACATATCGCATTATTCCATTCGGCAAATATTTAAAAATGAGCTCGGTTTCAAGTCATTAAAATTCCAAAAAGTGCAAAAACTTACACCGCAACAGAAAGAAAATAGACTCAAAAGAGCTGCTTTGCTTGGCCGAAAGTGATGAACTGCCGAATTTGGTCTCCGATAAAAAAAACATTCGTTGTCCAGCAGCTGGTAAACAAACAAAATGATCGTGTTTACTTGCTAAAGAGGTCAGCTGAAAAAAATGCACCTTCGGTTGGCCATCACAACTCAAGCGCCGGCCTTGGTGATGGTGTGGGACGCCATATCATCCGATGGTCTGGAGGGTGTATTAAAGCTTTGGACACGCAAACATTTTGGCCGCAGACCTTGGACATTCCAACAGGACTCAGCACACGCCACCCATGAATGGTTAAAAAATTAGGTTCCTCACTTAATTTCCAGAGCACAATGGTCACCAAAATTTCCGGATACCAATCCGTTGGACTATTGTGTCTGGGTATTTTTGAATGAAGGTTGGCACTAAAAAATACCAAATTATCGATCACCTCAAGCAAGCGTCTCGCCGGGAATGGGCCAAAATACCACAGAGCAACATTCGGGCAGCGTATGACGGTTTCATTGTCGGTTTGAAGGTCATAATTCGTGCCAAAGGTGACCAATTCAATTCTAAACTTCGAATCTAAACTTATTCTAAAATGTAATGCTTGCTATTTCCGACATTTTTTGCTTTCATTCAATGAAATTTAAAAAAAAATGTAAAAATTATGGCGTTTGACTTTGTTGCAGTTTTTTATCTCACCCTGTATATCTAAGCATCTATATGGCAATGGGTGTTTAAGCCAAAGAAGCAGTCGAATGTGATTTAACAATTTTGCATTGGTGTTTGGAATTGATAAAAAAAAACATTGGTGGGATTTTTTGTAATTGGACTTTCGGTAAATTCATTTTTATGATACTGCATAGTCTGCGCCTGCTTCAAACAAAACAGTGCATACAGTGGAATCAATAGTTCGTACAAAACGGCTGAGATCAGTTTAACAAGGTCTAGAAAAATAGTTTCAAGTTCCTTTGTATTTCGCGATAAATATTTAAAAACTCTTCGCACTTGCCGTAGATCAAGCTTTTGTGGAAAAAATCACGACCGCCGAGGTAGATTTTTCAATAGAAAATTGTGTTGTAAAATATTCAAACTTCCAACTCACCTATTCAATATAAATGTGCTCAAACCAACAATATCCCGATTCGATTGAAGATGAATTTTTTCGCCATACACCACTTCTAGACCCAAACGCAGCCACAATGGATTAAAACATAAAAGTAGCTCCAAAATTTCACGTTGTGTAACAACATCTAAATGCAGATTACGATCGCTACGGATGCGTAACGCATTCTTCTGGACATATACAGCCACTTTAGAACAGGGGCCGCGCATTTCTTCACTTAGGAATAGTTGTACAGCTGCTTTGCGTAGCGATTCCAAGCGAAAATTTGTCAAATATGTCATCGACTGTTCCTCTTTAGTGGGTGCCAAGATCAAATCTTTGTGGCGAACTTCATTAAATAATTTACCAACATCGATTTTGGCATTCGAATCCGTATCCAATTCGGCGGGCATGGTAACCAAAGCATTAAGCCATTTTTTGAAATCAATTTGATGTCTATCGACTGCCGCTTCGTCCAAATACATAGTCGAGGCTAAAAAGGGATCACATGTTGTCGTAGCCGCAAATGGATCAGGATTTATATAGGGTTGTAAAAATAATTCCGAATCGTACAATCTTGTGCGGGGTTCTTCTTTCATTTTACGCGGCGTTACTGGTTTCTTAACCAATGACAATGTTTTTGCTAACTTGAATTTTTTGGGTTGGGTCTGAGACCATGACCTAACTTTAGCCATTGCGGCATTTGATGGAGATCGATTATCAAGCTTTTGTCGTTTTGGTGGTGATACTGCGGAATAACTGGATTTGGTGGAACTCGTTTTTGTACTGCATGAACTGATGACCGACTCGACACTTTGGGAATCGGAAAATGACAATTCGTTTGATCTTCTTTTATGGCCATTAGATTCTGTCACGGTATAAAGTTTAGACTTTCCTGTTTTTGTTGCAGACGGCGGGGTGTTGGAAGTGTTCCTTGAATTAATATTTTTTGCTTTATTCACCACTGGGCTGCTCTTTCGACACTTTAATCCAACCTCATTCAAATTGAACCGACTGGATTGAGCAAGAATTTCATTGTGATTGAACATTACATCAGGGTGCGAAATAAGGCTAGTCTGGCTAGCGTTTAGCATATCCACGGAAGTATCTTGAGCGGATTCCACAGGTTTATTGTCCGCACTGCTGCCGATTGTGCCCTGTTTAGAATTGCTAAGTTTGACTTGAGAAGTGGCCTGTTGAAAATACCGATTTTGTTCAAATGCTTTAATGGTTTCCATCTCATTCAGGTTTGGCAATGACCCCTGAGTTAATACTGCAGACTGTGGCGATTTCTGATATAAATCCTTCATGGATTCCGAGTATTTGCGCAATGGTGTTCCCACCAATTTAATGTCGCGCTTAAGGTCTTCTTCTGTTGATGCTTTGGGAGTTTCCACTCGCTGCCCCGTTGGTGTGTTGATAACATTTATCGCATTAGGAGGACTTGAATTTTCTTCTTCTTTTATAATCTCCAGGGGCCTCGCCACGGGTGTTGTACTAATAACAGTTGTTTTATTTAGAGGCAACACTGTTCCCACACTAAGTCCACAATTTGCATCTGACGAACTATTTAAATTCTCTGCAGTATTATCCAAACTCTCACAATGTTTGATATCAAACGTTTTGTTCGTAATGACTATTGTAACACCTTTGGTGTCATTATGTAAATCTTCATTGGAAAGTACACCCTGCTCATCTTCATATAACTCATTCGATAAACGCCTGGGCTTCAATTCCCTGGCGTGGTCTGTGTGATCTGGAGTACTAATTGGCGCCGTTGCCATCGGTGTTGGTAAGGAAGCCAGACTTTCTAAGCGTGATTGAGTGGGTTTGGACAACGTTACAGTAGCGGGTGTAAATTTCAGTTCATCAATCATGTCCAAAACATTAGAGATAGCCATGGGACTAACGTTCTCTTTCAACGCATCCTTCGTGTTATTATCATGGAGAAAATGCGGTGAGAGATTCGATGCTACCTTTATATGATCGCCATTTTCATTTGCATAAATATTGCGTTCAGCTAAAGGTGACGTATGGGCCTGAATATTGTTGGCTTTCAACGTTGCCGTATTATCGCGCGTTACCGGCATTGATGATAGCTTATTGCTAACTCCGGTGCCTTTATGATTGGATGGTTGCGAATGCGATGATGGTGGTGGCTTTGTCTCGTTCCTTCCGACCCCTTGGGATTTGCTACTGTTATTTTCAAGAGCTGTTGACAATCTCTTCTTTTGCAATTGCTGATACTGATGTTGTTGTGTTAATCTGCTAACTTTGCTGGCAGCACTTGTGGGTGATTTAAGTCGCAATGTTTTCACATGTGTACTGTTGCCCGATGATATTGTGGGAAATTTACGCACATTCTGCGTTAGAGGAAAGCCATATGAAGGTAATTAGGGCATGCAACAAAAAAAAATATATAAGTGGTATGAATTTAATCGTTTCGATTATACCAATATGGAAGTGGTAACAAATTTGAATTTAACAGTTTTCATTTACCTTGGCGCTTTTATTTGGTATAGATTTTAAAATGATCATGACGTCTTTGCGAAAATTTCTATCATCGATTAGCTGAAGAGTTTCCTTACACGACACATCAACTTGTGGTGACCATACCATATCCATGGATATTTCACTCTGTGCCGGCACAGAGTTCTCTGTCCACTCGAGGGTAATATTGTGCTCGGGATTTAGTGGCTTGCAAACACTTACCTGAAATAATTAAACGACACTATGAGAAACGAAAGCAAACACAACAAATATCGTAATAAATAATAACAAACTAAAAATAATATTTTAAGTTTTTATGTTGCGGATGTTGATGATGAACGTCTTGAAAATTGTTTTATATTGTGCTAAGGTGACTCTGATATAAACTTATAATTGGACTGTTTAGTCCAACTAGTTTTCCATTGATATTGACCCAGTAAGTTCGTTCGAAGAACTAAAACAACACTCGCTCGTTCATTGCAAGAAGTAAAATTTATAACATCAAGTAAATCATTCAACTGTTTATACAAAATGACTTGAAAATTGGAGAGGACCGATATATCCCATCTTCATAACGAATCTTTTGTTAGTTGTTAGTGGAAATAATGGGATGTTTGAAAGATAAAGAGATTTTATAAACGTTTTAGTTATTCAAAACTTTCACCATTTGTGGCGGAGGTAGCAGGAGGAATTTTCCGGTCTCTACCGTTTTTTTTTAACAGATCCTGTATTGATAGAAATATTCAGATGTACCAAGTCTAAATGGAATCCGATGTTAATTTCGCGTTTTATGAGTTTAATATCCATTAAGCTTCAAAATTATGAACTTTTGTGGGGGATGTACCAGAAGGAGTGAACCGATATATTCCATCTCAACACCAGATCTTGAGTTTATGAAAATATTGGGATGTGTGAAATTTTAAGACAATAGTATTCTTACATCACATTTTATAAGACTTATAATTAATCATACTTGATGGAGTGGACCGATACTATCCACTTCCACACCTGATCTAGCACTGACGCAAATATTGGCATTTGGAGCAAAGTCGGATTATCCTTTCTCTTTTTGTGCAAAAAATATATATTTTGCAAATTTCGACCTTTTGTGGGGGAGGAGTGGACCGATATTGCCCATCTCCGAACTCGATCTAAGTTTGACAAAAATATTAAGATATATCAACTTTGGATCAAATCGGATACTCCCTTCGAGAGTTATAGTGCACACCAGCCAGCCGGCCAGACAGACGGACGGACGGATATCGCTAGGTCGACTCCAAATGTTTTGAAACGGATTTGGTCCAAAGAGACCTAGGGTCTAAAACCGTTATTTTGACTAGGTACGTTTTGACCGTATCAAATAATATATACCCTCTCTAGCCATATGACTGAGGGTATAATAAAGATAGGAAGCGAACATTTGTGGGATAAGTCCACCTGTTTGAACAAACGAAGCTTTAGGTGAGTTCACCTTTCTATTATATGACACAAATCAAGGCAATAATAAGGTGTAATGGGAGACTGCTGCATTTTTTTATTCCCTCCACCATACCTAGTATGGAGGGTATATTAAGTTCGTCATTCCGTTTGTAACTCATCGAAATAATAATTTTAGACATAACAATTTATAGAATTCTCTTTATTTATAGAATTCTTTATAGGAAGAGAACATTTTGAACAGATCAGTTTTTTCCCTGCAGGCAGGTCAAGTTCAAAGATGTTCTATATCGGTTCAAGATATTGTATAGCCCCCATATAACGTTACACCTAAATAATAGGTATTTTGATGATTGCAACCACAAAATGAGATCCTTCTGAGCACTTTACCCTTTGGAAGAGTATTGTGTATATAGGCCCCCCCTATAAGGGTACCTCCCTATGTTCGGTATTTTGATTATTTTAGCAACAATTGAATTTCTCCATACTAGAAGTTCTGTCTAAACACATTAGCCCCTGGGTTGTCTACATAGGTCGACGATATCGTATAGCCCAGTCTATGACAGAAAATAGTCCATGCAGGCCCAGATCTTCGTATATTCTCTATATAACAGTACCTCCTTATATTCGGTATTTTGACGTTTTTATGTACAATATTCAACGAAATTTTTTGAAATTTCGTATTTAAAGTTCCTAATAGGTACTACAGCATGTGACAGAAAATTGTTTATGCGGGTGCAGGCCTTCGTGTAGTTGCCTACGCAGGTCCATTATTATTTTCTACGAGTCCGAATTAAGGTTAGGCAAGTTTATTTGCAAAAAGTCACTGTTCGTAGATAAGAGAAGTAATGGGAATGCAACAAATTTTCTGTCAATTCCTTTTGGTTGTTTATTTTTATACTCGACTATATACTTCGACTAGTCTAAATCAGGACTATCAACAATATTAAAGAGAGAATAGAAAAAGAAATCGAATAAATGTAGGCCTAAATGTAATATACTAGGCCTAATTTTCTTCTGGACATTACATCCCCTTTCATCTAACCAGTTTTGTTAAAATCTCTCGAAAGAAATGCTTCATGGACGAGATTACTTTTTCCGTGATGGAATTCAAGCGTGTGATGTTTTAATATTTGGCTGGAAAACCACAAGTGGCTTTCGTTAGAGCACTCCAGCATTTAAATGTGAATAAATCTTTTGTGTCTCGTAGCATCGCTCGTTACCGTGATACTGATAGCGTAGCCCGACGTGAAGGAAGTGGACGGAAGGAAACAGCAACAACAGCGGAAATGGTTCGAAAAGCAAAGAAGCGACTTGATCGAAACCAGCGTCGCAATGGCCGAAAAATGGCTCATAACCTGAACATATCGATGATAGTGTTTAGGCCGCCGTAACAGCCGATGGTCGATCTCCGCTCGTATTAATCGACCGTAGCATCAGAATGAATGCCAAATATTATCGCGAAAATATTCTGGAGGGTGTATTAAAGCCTTGGGCACGCAAACATTTTGGCCGCAGACCTTTGACATTCCAACAGGACTCAGCACCATCGCACTCAGCACGCGCCACCCAAGAATGGTTACAAAATGAGGTTCCTCGCTTCATTTCCAGCGCAAAATGGCCACCAAAATCTCCGGATAACAATCCGTTGGACTATTGTTTCTGGAGTAATTTAGAAAGCAAGGTTGACACTAAAAAATACCAAAGTATCGATCACCTCAAGCAAGCGCTTCGCCGGGAATGGGCCAAAATACCGCAGAGCAACATTCGGGCAGCGTGTGGCGGTTTCATTGGCCGTTTGAAGGCCATAATTCGTGCCAAAATTAATTCTAAAATTTGATGATATATCCGACGTTTTTGCTTACATTCAAAAAAAAAAAAAAATTAAAAAAATGTAAAAATCATGGCCTTTGACTTTGTTGCAATTTTTTGTATATCACCCTGTATAATCACCGGACCATTGGATTCCATGTTTCTATTTCCCAACAGATCTATGTTTTCTTTTGATGAATTATTTATTAAGTTTCAAGTGGAGACTAATGCTTGACTATCGCGGGGAATTCTTGAACCCGTTCCACATTCCATCTTTGAATTATCAGTATAGACAGCTGCACCGTTTAAGGGTGGGTTGCTTTTGTCTCTGCCTCCAATATTAAATCTGGCATTCACTTAATATCATAAGGCGTTTTGTATCATTAAATAATATTTAGGAGTTTGAGTATTTCCACATTTAATTTTCATAGCTTGTAATCTTCAATACATCAAATTTAGTTTATTCTTGGCAGTTAAATCCCAAGACGTAAGTACCTACCTACTATAGGTAGAAATGCTAAATTTTTTTGTCTACCTACATTATGTATGCATGAAGATTCTCTTACTATTTCCAGTTTCATAATCATTTATGCATCTTCCTATTCCATTTTTTGTTGCACATTTTCACGGATGTCTCTGTGCGTGTGTCCTTAAATTTGTGCACAACAACAAACCATTTATTCAAAAGGCGCTAACATCCATTGCCATGTGTGCGTTTATCAAAATAAACAAAATTGCCGTTGTAAAGGAATTTCACCAGAAGCCTCGTTACCGAGTTAGGCGTCCATCCCCCTTTTATGTAGTCGTATTTGTTTACTAAAATTGACATACATTTTCAAATTGTCCTTTGAAAGTAGCTACCTATAATAAACAAAATGATGGCCCTAAACTGTTGACACGAATAGCTTCATCAGCTAACTAGGCAACCGAATTGTTAAAAGGGGCCTCTAGCAGAGGAACAGAAAGGCAAGCTCCAGCAACGACGTTTATGCCAATTTCTGAAAATTAAAAAATTCTTTCACACGGCTTAATTATTGTTGTTGTATAAATAGTGTGCTCAATTCTTGTCCTTTTTACTTTGGCGTTTTTTTTTTTTTTTTTTCTCTTTTTGTGTGAAAACTAAAATGGATTTAGGCAGGAATGTGAGACTTGAATACAAATTGGCATTATGTATGTACCAATGTTAAAGCAATTTAAGAAAGGAATGACTGTGATGATGAAGGGTAATGCACGTAAGATCAGATATGTGTATATCATATGCACAGGCAGGCATATGCATTTTTTTCGTCTGTCTGCTTGCCCTTATTCGTTTCAACTTAATTTGCACATTCTTCATATTTTGCATTCCCTACACATTCTAATTTATGCGTTCTTACCTCAATATCCATCTCCGAGGGATTTATTATGCGCAGAACTCTTCTTGCTGTTTTTGTTACGGGAACACCTTCGAAGAGAACTATGGATTTGCCGGAAAATGGCGCCATTACCACTTCAGTGGGTTCGCGAGACTCGGCCAGGCGTTTGTTCTTGCATCGCGTTGGTGTCACCTTAACCTATGATGATGATGGAGAGGCAAAAACAAAGGAATCAAAACTTAAACTCTGGCTCGACTTCAGTAATATACCTCGAATGCACTCATATTCACTTTATGTGTGATGGCAGCTCAGGTGTTCGATTCCCACACGGCAGACGCCAGACAAATACGACAAAACAACAAAAGAAGGAATTTTTAATTACAAATCACAATTGAACGGGCAAAACAAAACACAAATATGTCACACAAAATTCCATTCACCGACGAGCACCGTGCACATCAAATTAATAAAAGTGAATTTTTTTTTTTTTTTTCAGACACAAAAAAACAAAACAATTAAAACACAAAACTATTTTGCACTACGAGCTGCCTTTCTTTTCCTCCAGGAGTGGAGTGTATGTGCCGTTAGTTTGCGCTTTGTATTTCAAATAGTTTGAAGTTTGTTTATGTGTCAGCAGCTGTCAATAGGGCGAATGCCATTTATCAATGTTGCCATATTGCTTCGATGTCAATGTGTCAACTTTGTAGTGAAGTAGATGTTGATCTGGCTATGCTAGCAAAAGGTTTGCGCCCACGCTATGTACTATGTGGAAAATATTTGCTTAGTGTAATTGGAACCCATTTTCCATGGTAGAATAAAGACCATAATCCATGTATTAGGTCCCCCTTCCAGCTCAGCTGATTACCAAACGATCGGTCAATTCATGGCCCAATTATAAGGTCTTGCTTCGAGCGAATTAATCTAAAAACAGCTGTTATTTTAACAGATGAAATGTTAAATTCATGCTTGAAGCGAAAATAAATATTTTCGTCTTGACAGAAGAATTTTGTGGCGAATATGTTTGTGGTCAATTTTGTGTATGTATAACAGCTGTGCTGCTCCAAAACGTTTTTTTAAATAATGCCATGATAACGTTAGAACTTTTTGTAGGGTTAACCTACTTTGAGAGGATTTATTTGAAACAAGTAAAAAAGCTGTAAGTTCGGCCGGGCCGAACTTTTAATACCCTCCACCATTTGGTACAAATTTGGCATTTTCTAATAAATAAAATCCGTTAAAAATTCTGTTAAAATCTTAAGAATACTGAATGCATATACGACGACGTGGGCCAGCATAGGCAACTTTTGTCATAAGTTATTACACTATTTAAATGCGAAACTTGAAGAAAAATCTGTTTATAATCTAGCTAATATCATTAAAATACCGAATATGGGGGGTACCGTTATATGGGGGCTATACGAAGACATGGACCTGCGCAGACAATTTTCTGGCATGGGCTGAAGTATCCATTCCGAAATTCACATGCGAAATTTGAAACAATTCCGGTAAATAATGTCGCTAAAATCATCAAAATACCGAATATCGGGGGGTACGGTATATGGGGGCTATATGAAGACGTGGACCTATATGGCCCATTTTCTGTTTTATGCTGCAGTATCTATTACGAACTTCAAACACCAAATTTGGAACGATTTCGCTGAATAATTTCGCTAAAATCATCAAAATACCGAATATCGGGGGGTACCGTTATATGGGGGCTATATGAAGACGTGGACCTATATGGCCCATTTTCTGTTTTATGCTGCAGTATCTATTACGAACTTCAAACACCAAATTTGGAACGATTTCGCTGAATAATTTCGCTAAAATCATCAAAATACCGAATATCGGGGGGTACCGTTATATGGGGGCTATATGAAGAAGTGCACCTATATGGCTCATTTTTTGACTTAGGATGTAGTATCCATTACGAAGTTCAAGTACCAAATTTGAAACGATTGCGGTAAACAATGTCGCAAAAATCATAAAAATACCGAATATCGGGGGGTACCGTTATATGGGGGCTACACGAAGACATGGACCTGCACAGATAATTTTCTGTTTTAGGCTGTAGTATTCATTACGAACTTCAAATGCCAAATTTGAAACAATTCCGGCGAATAATGTCGCTAAAATCATAAAAATACTGAATATCGGGAGGTACAGTTATATGGGGGCTATATGATAACTTGGACCTACATGGCCCATTTACGAACTTAACCTGCCTACTGGCAAAATATACATGTGTGCAAAATTTTAGCCTTCTATCTCAATTTGTTCGAAAGATAGCGTGATTACAACAGACAGACAGACAGACGGACAGACAGACAGACAGACACACAGACAGACAGACGGACATGGCTAAATCGTCTTAGAATTTTACGCTGATCAAGAATATATATACTTTGTTGGGTCTGACATGAGTATTTCGAGGAGTTACAAACGGAATGACAAAATTAATATACCCTCCATAGTATGGTGGAGGGTATAATAAAAGTAATGGATATGACAATTTAAATCCAAATCCAGTGGGTTAACCCTCATATATATAAACGTACTATAAGTACATTTTTATAAGTTTTCTTATGGGAAACCAATCGGGGATAGTTATGATATGCATTTTTCAACAATTTTTAGAAATTGGTTTGACATTTCCATGGTATAATAAGGAGGTAGAACAGCTTCGTAAAACTATAGGAATACAGCTCTGAGGCTATACCCGCTTCTTGTCAGAACTATTCAAAATTGTATGCAACAAGTTGTTTTCATCTATATCACCTTTTTTCTCATTTTTAAAATGACTTAAATAAAGCGAAAGATGAATGAAGTGTCTGGTTTTTATTTGAAAAATATGATCCAGAGTGTCCAATCTTTCAATTCCATGGTTAAGCTGATTAATATCTTCGAAGCGCGCCCCACAATCTACGTTTCTTCCAATCATTGATTTTGAAAATATTTTTTTTTTTATTTTTCAAAACAATTAATATATACACAAAATTTACAGAAGTCGGGCACACTCAGAAAAAAATTGTAATCAGTTGGTAGTTCTACCTTACCTTTTTATTGTACCATGGACACTTCATTGTCCCAGTAGCTATGCAATGCGACTACCTGTATTTTTCTACCATGGTTTTTAGTTTGTTTAAGTTGCAGCGAATTCAAATTTAATTGACAGATCGTATGGTAATCAGCTGAGCTGGAAGTGGGACCTTATACATGGATCATGGATCGGTCGATTACATTTGAATTCGCTGCAACCAAAACAAACTGCAAAACTATGGTAGAAGAATACTGGTAGTCGTAACGCATACCTGCTGGGACAATGAACTGTCAAACCAATTTTTAAATAGAAAATTTTAAATGAAAAATTATTCAAATTTCAAAAATTGTTGAAAAATGCATATCATAACAACCTCCGATTGGTGTCGTATAAGAAAACTTATAAAAATGTAATGTATTCTTCTACTATACAGCAGAGCTGTGTTACGATCAGCCTTGATGGAGCTGGGCGTTATGTCATTATGTACCGCCTAAATTAGACGACATATTGTGGCCGCTTGACGCGGTGCATGGTGGGGTTCCGACAAGCTCAATCGGGGCACATTTTTTTTTTATCAGGGGGTTCCCAACCCTTCCACCATCAGCCCTAGGTGTCGAACAATTATAAAGGAAACAGAAAATGAACACAAAAAAAAAAAAAACAAATAAAAATAAAACGACAAACACGATATATGACCATGACAAGGGAACTTGGTATTTTGGTTCCCACACTTTGCCCGCCCATCCTTGACCCTTTGATCCAGAACAAATAATTGATAATTTTAAAGGGCCCCAAAACCCACTAACACTTACCACTCAGTTACATACAGCCTAGATTCCTCTCTTACAAGAAACACTTAGAAGTTCATATTACTAAACATATAAAACATTAAAACAATTTATTTTCATTTCGTCTTAATCCTAATAACTAAGTCTAAACAAAACAAATTTAATTCTGGAATTCCTAACACCTTTAATTTTCATGAGCCATTACTCAGGCAACCACCAAATTATCTTAGGACTTACAAAATATTTGCCAAATCTGGCCGATCACACGAATTTTATAAATTCCCTAAAAGAGCTCTCTTAGTAATTATTTTTGGACATGACCATTCAGTCCATGCGAAAAGAATATTTAAATGTCCTATTCTACTGGGGTAACCCTACACTCATTTCTTTTAACTGGGTGTTAAAAAATCCTAACAAAACATCGATAACTCAACAAATGAACCTTATATACTAACTTACTATTAATGGACGTTCACACTTAATCTAAGATTAAAACATAAATATAATTAGTCTTATTTTGTCCGTCTCTGTTTGTTGTGATTTTTTATGTCTCAATTCAATGTAAATTTAATGTTATTTCTTTTTTTTGTTAAATTTTCAGATTTTTTTGGTCAGCGCGTCATGGACGTTTTTAGCGCTTAATTTTGACCGGCCATTGGAGGCAACTGCCAATTTTTGTCCAGGAGAATCTCGGCTTGTTAGGTATGTATAAAAAAAATGTGTGATTTTACCTTTTTATCGCCGGTACTTATCGACTTTTTCTCCTTTTAGACAAAAGACATCAAAAATGGTTTTTACTGCCAACTCACACAAGGCCAGTTTCCATCAGCCAAACAAGACAATCACGGGAACAAATTCAAACACAAATTGGGCAGCTGTTTATCCTGGCGGGTTTCCAGAAATTCCGGATTTGCCAAAACTGAACACCTCCAGGAAGAAGTCTGGAGAAGCCAATATTTTTTTGTTCGGGGCTATAGTTGGCGCGACTTCTAAACACAAACAACACATATTACAACACAAACCTTCCTCTGTAAAATTTTCACTCTACTTACTACTATTTCGTTCGCACGTACACATAAATTAAATTGTCCAAAATGAACACAAATCAACACACCACAATTTGACATTAAATTCAATAAATATTCCACTGTTATTTTATTTTGACGATGAGGCTTATTTCCCGGACAAATGGTATTTTTCCATAACAGAACAAGACGCATTAACGAAATTTTCCCCGCTACGCCTTTTTATAGGGCAAAAACTGATGCCAGTTTTTCCCTCTTTCCAAAATTTTCGCGGATTTTTCCTCAATTTATTCATTTTTCCTTTGACCCGCACCTACATATCCCTACACCCCACAGAGTTGCATTCCTCATTCCACTTACAGTGATGGGTGGCAACGCTGAAAATCTGTACCGATCCGGCCACTTCGCATATCCGGCTCTCTCATTTTTTCGCCGGCCGAGGAAGACAGCAACTATGCTGGTAGTAAATTTATTAAAATTTTAAATATTTCTGGGTCACATGCAACAGCTGTTATACATACAAAAAATTGACAACAAACATATTCGCAACAAAATTTTTCTGTCAAGGCGAAAAAATGTACTTTCGCCTTAAGCATGCATTTTGACATTTCATCGAATAAAAAAACAGCTGTTCTTAGATAATTTCGCTCGACACATGACAGAATAATACAGGTAGTCGCATCGACACAGCTGCTAGGACAATGAACTGTCAAACCGATTTTGATCTCGTAAAAATCGTGAATGAAAAATTATTGAAATTTGTAAAAATTGTTGAAAAATACATATCATTACGACCTCCGATTTGCGTCGTATAAGAAAATATATAAAAATCGATTTATTTTTGACACAGCACTTAACAAATTTTGACATATCAATGTTGCGTTGATGCATGAATTCTAAAAAGAAGACAAAATAGATTCTTGTAGCCATTGGAATTTGAACACAGTTGTTCGCCCTCAGAATTACGTACACGAATCAAACAAACAACTATATCCTCCACCTTAATGCTAGGAACACAATTGGTGCGAACGACGATTTTTTCGAGGCGAATGTTCGTCGACAAAAATAAAAAACATATGCACACAATCACGGCACCGGCGAGAATTTTGTCGGACACCGCGAACTCAATTAACTTTATTTCTATTTCATACGCCGGCGAACGGCGAACAAAACAGTACAAGGTGGCCATACTTGTACGAATTTTATATGTTTTAGTAAATAAAGTTACTTTTTACTCTAAAATTTGTTATGGTCACTCTACTATCTGTTACTCGTATAAAAAACACAATTAATTTGTTTATTTATTTGTGTACTTGCGCCTGAGTGAAGATGGATATCAGTTAAATTATAATAGAGAACGTAAAGAATTATGAGTTCTTGCATAATTTGGCCTCAAAAGACTACTGAGCAAAAAGTAAACAACTTCATCAGCTGTTTTATAATTTCGTCGGTATTGTGTTCCTACGACGAATTTACACGGCTCGTTTTGTCGCCGCGTAGGGCGAAATTCGTCGTTCGCTCCAATTGTGTTCCTAGCATAAGGTGCATGTACATAAAAAGCTTGAAGCATAGTAGAAGAATACAGGTAGTCGCTTCGACACAGCTGCTGGGACAATGAACTGTCAAACCGATTTTGGAATTGAAAATGTTGAATGAAAAATTACTACAATTTGTAAAAATTGTTGAGAAATGCATATTGTAACAACCTCCGATTTGCATCGTATAAGAAAATATATAAAAATGTACTTATCTTTGACAAAACAATTTTAAAATTTTGACATATCAATGTTCGCAAGCGTTGATGCATCTACTTATATTCTTCTACCATGGCTTGAAATGTCATAAAATATGCCTAGCCGTGACTTTAAGCTTCTTAAGTACTTACACCTTTAGTATGGATGGTATATTATGTTTGTCATTCCGTTTGTAACATCTCGAAATATATAATTTAGTACCTTCAAGATATATATTTTATTGATTGCATAAAGGTGAGAACATGGTAAAATTAAGAAGGTAAAGTCATTTCAAATGAGCAAACATATCTCCGCATTTTCTGTAGATAATCTTGTCAAATTTCACTGCATGAAAACTAGGTTTCCATCTCTGATTTGTGTATTTATATAAAATGTTTTTTTTTTTTTGACTGGCCCAAGTCATCGGCTGGCCTTTTTGTAGAGGTGCGAAGGAGTTTTAGGTTGACTTATTATATCGATGGGTTACAAACGGAATGACGAACTTAATATGCCCTACATACTATGTATGGTGGAGGGTATAAAAATATTGGAAATAGCATCACATTTTAGAATAAGTTTAGATTTCCTTGCTTTCCAAAATACTCCAGATACAATAGTCCAACGGATTGGTATCCGAAGATTTTGGTTGCCATTGTGCGCTGTAAATGAAGCGAAGAACCTCATTTTGTAACCATTCTTGGGTGGCGCGTGCTGAGTGCGATGGTGCTGAGTCCTGTTGGAATGTCAAGGTTTGTGGCCAAAATGTTTGCATACCCAAGGCTTTAATCCACCCTCCATAATATTTTCGCGATAATATTCGGCATTTATTCTGATGCCGCGGTCGATTAATATGAGCGGGGAGCGACCATCGTCTGTTATGGTGGCCCACACCATCACCATGGCCGGCGCTTGTGTTCTGGTGGCCAACCGAAGGTGCACATTTTCAGCTGACCTCTTTGGGAAGTGAACACGATCATTTTGTTTGTTTACACCGTATTCGGCAGTTCACCACTTTCTTCCAAGCGAAGCAACTCTTTAGCTCTTTGGAGTCTATTTTCTTTCTGTTGCGGTGTAAGTTCTTGCACTTTTTGTAATTTTAATGGCTTTAGCCCGAGTCGCTTCTTTACTTTTCGAACCATTTCTGCTGTTGTTGCTGTTTTCTTCCGTCCACTTCCTTCACGTCGGGCTACGCTACCAGTATCACGGTAACAAGCGATCGTACGAGACTCAAAAGATTAATTCACATTTAAATGCTGGAGTGCTCTAACGATAGCCACTTGGGGTTTTCCAGCCAAATATAAAGAAATCACACCATCACGCTTGAATTCCATCACGAATATCTTTTCGTCTGGAATATTCTCACGAAAATGCTTTTGTACGCTTGTAATTTTGACATCTGTCGGACGAGTGGTTTAGAAATGACTGCAGTCGGCAGTTGGTTGCAGTTTTTTCATCTCACCCAGTATGGGAGCTATAGCTATATCTGAACCGATTTACACTAAATTTGAAGTACTGGTACTTTCATCTCAATCAGATAATAATTGCGACCTGCATTTTGTTCACAAGAATACATGAACGGACGTACATGCATAAATTGTGAGTTTGTATACGCTACACCACAAGGTGGTCAGGGTATTATATCTTTGTGCATTTGTTTGTAACAGGCAAAAGGAAACGAGATAGACCCATAGCTCCTTTTGATGATCTGCATAGAATCACATTCAGAGTCGATTTATGCATGTCCGTCCGTCTGTCCATGTATTTTTGTAAACAAAGTACAGTTCGCATTTATTACCTGATCCAGATGAAATTTTGCACAAATCATTTGTTTGGCCCAAGGACGAAACCTATTGAAATTGGAGATAATCGGTAAAAATTTAGATATAGCTCCCATATATATCTTCGTCCGATTTGACTTTTTGTTGTGCACCAAACGTGTAATATCAGTCCGAATAGTATGGAATTTTGCACATATAACCAAATTAGGCCTGAAAATAAGTATGTCAAATTTGATCGAAATCGGCTTAGATATAGCTATAGCTCCCATATATATTGTTCATCCGATTTGTTATTTTTGTCCTCCGCTGCCGTAATATGCACCCTGTAACAACAATATTTGGGGAAATTTATCAAATACAGCTCAGAAATACATGTGCTAAATTTTATCGTGATCGCTTCAGATTAGGATATATCTCCCATATATAACATCGTCCGATTTAGCTTTTATTGTGCACCAAACGTCTAATATTTGCCCAAATGGGATAAATTGAGTCTAGAAGCTAGTATGTCAAATTTGGTGAAGATCGGTTCAGATAAAGCTATAGCTCCCATATATACTGTTCATCCGATTTGTTATAATTGTTACCCACAGCCGTAACATACACTCCGTAACAACGATATTCAGGGAAATATATCAAACACAGCTCAGAAATATCTTTGCCAAATTCTGATTGGATATAGCTCCCAAATATATCTTTATCCGATTTCAAATTAATTGTGCACAAATGGGCAATACAAGTCCGAATTTAAAAGATACAAATGCTTCGGCATATTTAGTCCTTTGAACTTTAAATTATTATTATAATCATAGCGTGTATGATGGAATTCTGCCATAAAAACTTTTAATTGTTATGCGGAGCTCTACTAATTTAGCAAAGTGGTGTAGGGTACCATAAAGTCGGCCCCGTTCGACTTTAAGACTTTCTTTACTGGTTAAATTTAAATAACCAAATTTTTCAAATGCTGGTGACAGTACAGCAACTGTAGGAAGAAAAGGAAGGTGAAATATTTGCAGGTTAATGAAGAAATACTGAATATGTATTCTACATACACACATATATAAAAATGCAGTCTCTTGGGTACCTCAATAGCAGTATGCAGCAGATGTTCATACTCAGATGATATGAACAGCAAAGAGAGGAACGAGTAGAAACGACGTTAAGTTCGTCTGAGTCGACCTTGTTATACCCACCAACAAGTGCAAGTTTTATTTATGGCTAAATCGGCTATTCTGAAAATCTCTAAATTTGCAAGTTTCGGATATAGCCCGTTTGTCCCACCAGAGGGTGAGGCTACATACGCAGCTTGGCATCATGGCGAGGCATATAAATATCAAATTATAAGGAGAAACGACGGCAGGATTCGAGTGCGGCTATGGCATCCCTTCATGATATGTCACAAAAACTGCCATGCAAAGACATCAAGCTGCTTATGTATCCACACCTTTAGGAGTGTAGGGGTTTTCCCATATTTACTTTGAACATTTAACTTTGCTTTTTAATTGAAACTATGTAGCCTTAGGTTTTGGTTTATACATATTTTGAATTCATGTAATACACATTTTTTCATTCTTAAAAATATTTTCAACTAACGAAGTTGGTTTTTTATTAAAATAAATAAT